CCTGCTGACATTACTGCCAGCATTTGCTATGCTATAAAATCAACGATATCGTTATTAGAGAACTGCATCGTTTCTATTTCATTCAATCTCAACAATATTCTCCTTTGTGATATGTGAAAATATCCAATGATTATCTTTTAGGTGGAAAAAATAAAATGTTGTCGACTTGTATTATTACAAATTAACGAATTTGATAAGCAAATATTATTATATTTTAATTACTAAATGTTTTAATATATATCATTTATTCATTTAATTATATGTAATTATTATTAAAGCCCTCGTTTTTACGCGCGAAATATCAAGATAACATTTTTAATTATGTGCATGACATTGTGATTTTTATCACTGAGCATACTGCATCTTAATTGGTATTAAGATATACAATGTAATTATGTCTAAGTATTTGTTAGAGCCTAATTCTACAAAGCGTTGAAAAGAAGGTATTAAATGGCTTTCATAGATCAGTCACGAATGTATCTCGAATATATCTGCTTATAGGTGTACAAATTTTTCTCACGACCCTGCTCGATCTAGTCTATCGCTCGATCTAAACTTTCCTACCAATCCGCCGTGCGCACTCACACAATACATGTTATTTGCACGCACTTATAATTAGGCAATGCAGAATTGCGAGCTTTGAATTGATAACGATTTCGCCGTTATATGAGCATTAAAAAGTTGAATATTATTATCAATGAAACTCCGATAGAAAGAACAAATGCCACCTTCGTTACATAATAATATGATTAATAATATAATTTTTAATTGATCATAATCCTGAATAAATTGTTTGATAAATTTCATACGGCTAATTCTGAATATATGTATTATAAATACATCACAAAACATTTCAATCTACGATAAATTAATATTAAAGTGAAATATATCATACGGAAGAAACTTGCTACATGTTATGATATACCAGATCGCGTTGGATCAATAATTAATACGCCAGCGTGCTGATTATATTTTTGCCGAATACCCGGAGGATATTATTACTCCTATATCAACCGCCTTTCCACATCGTAGTTCGATATACACTGACAATCTAATTTGACATGAGGCACAACGGAACGTTGTCTAGGCGCGCGCATAGAAGCGGGTTCTCACGACCCTGGTTCGATCCTGACTCCGTATTTAATATGAAACAATCAGTTTTAATGCGCATACGCCTCTGCACTGTTCCAAAATAAACCTATAATCCATATTTAATCGTAATAATATTAACGATTAATTAACATTATTGATTAATATTAAATAATAATGGTTAATTATAAATGTTTATTTCAATATATATTGAAGTTACTTCATATTAATAAATATCTATTATTAACAAAAAGAGAGTAGGTATATATATATATATATATATATATACCTATATATATATATATACCTCCCCCTCCTCGTCTCAGCAACGTGTGCACCATGAGGATTATATTGCTGGTATGTACTAAATTATTCAGTTATTTTGTGAAAAAAGTGAATCTTAATTGGTGCTCTCTTTTCTTGATTAACTCTTCATTTTAAAAATTTTGAACATTTTGTCGAAAATTTAACATAGGTATAACTTTGTGTTTCTTTTTTTTCTAATATCCATCATATTTATTTCACATAATATAAGTAAAATATTAAATTTGTGAGAGACTGACAGAAAATTCTTATTAATTAAAAAGTACAATATTTTAATCGTATATACATATATTATAATGTATTGAATATTGTGCAAAATCTTATCAAATTTTCCAAGTACATAAGACAAAAATAATTTATTTAAGGTTTGCATTAATTTAATATTTNTATATTTATTTATTTTTTATAATAAATTTAGAAAAATTATTCAGATGTATAATATATTTAATCTTTTTTCAAACTAATATTGTGTATAAACATTAATAGATTAATTAACTAAATATATTTGTATTATTAATAATAACTGATAAAAAAAATCAATATTAACATTATACTATGATATATTCAGTATGTTTTATCATTGTAAGATATGAGATTATAAAAAAACGTCTATACTTTTTACGTCAAACCGTTAAACGTGATTTGTGACTCAGCGACATTTTAAAACGTCGCTCGTTATCCTGTGACCTACATGAAATTAACCGTCGTTAACGCAGAAAAATCAGGATCTCGATAAGATCTACATGGTTCATTGTTGTAATTCGTGCGCGCGCGCGTGTGAAGGCATTTATAATTCATAGACGACGCATGATTAACAACAACGGAAAGTGAATTGTGTCTGCCCACACAATGTTCTAAGTATGGCCACGAGAATTTTCACTGGAAACTCCCTTTTGTCGTGAATTCGTGCGAAAGACGCGCGAGGAAAGTGTTGAATCCGAAATTGCAACTGTTTTCCCGCGAAAACAGTCGCGAATTAATTGTATACGCTAGGCAGTTGTTGACACCGTCAGTTACCTTAATGAACGCGGAGCCGAGCGACGTAATCTTTTGTTGAATGGGAAACAGATTCGCGCCTCGGGAAACACCGAAGCCCTGCGAGCCGCAAGTATACTGTCCCGATCGTTACAGCCTCGACATTTTTCAAATCTTTGTCGAGGCGACGTTTTTTTCTGTTTTATACTCATTACGTGATTTTCTTGATTGATAGTGAAAGTCCTATGTCCATTATATTCCGGTGCATTGTTACCAAGCACGCTAGGTTTGCTATTTTCGATCCGGGTCGATTCGCAGACACGACATTACTTTCTTTATCTGCTAAAGCTTTTGTGATGACGGCCAGTAAGTCAAATGACATATCCCGAGACTAATCTAGATTTCATCGATTACGTTCGCGCATCCACTGAAAAGCGCATAATCATAAATTATCAGGCGCGTTCTTACGCCCGCAGCAGCCTGGCGCCCGTCAAGTTCTCGTGAGAATGTTTAATAATCGCGCCGATTTCACTCATGCACCGCGGGCATAATTCGCGAATCGTGCGAAGAAATGCATAAGATATTTCCCGTTCGCGAATATCAACGACGATTTCTCCGATTCCCTTCCCGCGACTCGACATAACGCGATTATTAAACGCTTGTTAATCGCGTGCATTTTCTATGTGACGTTTGTTTCCC